TTTATTAGGCAGCTACAGCCAATCTTCTGCACAATATTTTTTTTAGTTAGGATTTTCTACACATATGCTGTATACTATTTCCAATAGGAAGTGATTCAAAGATTGGAAATTCATTGTGTGTAAATAAAGCAATCCGAAACATGATGCAATTTGTTTCCTATGTGTCCCTCACTGCAAAGGATGCCCCACAGTATGACTAACTGAGATCTTTGGAAATGGATAGCTTTGAAGGGAAATGTTGTAGGAAAGGTTATTCAGTTGTAAAAGTAAAAGAGAGAACTAGTTCACTAATTCATGTTAGCAACTATGCTTCTTTTTATAGTATGAAGCAACTGTGTCCCATGCATCAAATTGACAGATTTATGAGAGAAAAGCAAAAAGAAAGGCAAATACGATGCAACAATGCTATCTAAACCAATTAATATATCTATCTAAACCCATTAATATACAATAAGATTTGTATGGGGAGCAAGCATTTGTGGTTTATTCTGTGTTTTGCTATCTTCCATCTGTTCACCCACATCCAACTTTCAGAGACTTTATATATTGGCTGTCTCCATTCTTTCTCATGTTTTACAACTTTGTTTAATGTTTCCAAGTTTAAACCTGTATTTTGCTTAATGGCATCAATCCAACATATTCTTTGCTAGCCTTGTTTTTTAGCATCTTCAACCCTTCCAAGCATGATTGATTTTTTGATGAATTTGATTACATAATATGACCAAAATAAGGGAGCTTATATTCCAGTCATATTTCTGGATTGATGCAATCTAAAATGTGCTTGATCGTTTATTTTTGTTCTCCAAGCTATACATAGTACCTGTTTTGAACCTCATAAGGAGTTTAGTTTTCTTCTGCTTTTTATTGTCCAACTTTCACAAATATATATATATAATTAACGGGAAAACAATAGCTTTGACTATTCTGTATTTGGTATTAAGAGTTTTTTCAGATCTTCTTTATGTTAATCGTTGCAATGCAACCAAATGATATTCTAATTTAATTTGAGGTTTAGTGCCTCCTCTTTGAGTAAATCAAGAAACATAAATAAAATCCTGAACTGATTCAATTTATTTATTGTCACTTATTACTATGATTTTACTTTGTGTTTATAGATATACCAAGGAGAAAAAAAAATGTAAAATATGAATAAATAGGGTTATTAGAATTAGGTAAGGTTTGATTTATATTTCAGATTTGGTTTGCATTTGAAATTCAGACTCTAACAATATTCCATGTGTATTATTTTGAGAATTAAGATTTGGTAAATGATTATAAATTGTAATGGAATGGTATGATGTCTGCTTCAATTTTTGGCAGAATGGGAAGAAAAAAAACCAGTGATATATTAGCCTGCAAAATTTCAGCCAGATAATTTAAAGAGTTTCACTACAGTAAAGTTTTTCTTTTAAGGCAGAAATATGAGGGCTGAAGAAAGATCAATAGCCATTTGCAAATAGTCCATCAAAGAGCCTGTACAGAAGATGTCATGAACCAGTGCAGAGAGAGTCCTATTCCAATTAACAACAAAAATGTTTAAAAGCTGCTTTTAAAAATTGAAAAGTCTACTAGTAGTTCTATGAATAGTAGTTATTCTGGTCAGGCAGGTTTTTGACATGGTTGATGGGCAAGATTAACCTCTTCTGGGAATTACTAATATGTGCTTCCTCCCCAACCTTTAATAAAAATGTTTGAGGTATTTTATTTAACTGCATTCTGATAAAAGAAATTATCATATCCAATGAACAGTAAACACACCATCTCAGACTTATTCAAACAAGGAAGAGGACTTAATTCACTCCAGGAAATGATGGAAAGAGATAAGTATCAGAAAGAAAATAAGATTTTTTTT